ATTTGATACAATTTGATGCAACCGTTCACTACTAAAGAAAGGGTCTTTTGAGTCGGTTTTTTGAGTCGGCAAATTTTACCGTCGCAAAAGGTAACCTTTTTGAGACGGCACAGAGTTACCGACTCAAATACCAAACCTTTAGTGTCGGCACCGTTGGCCGACACAAAAAATTAATATTTGATAGTATTATTTGAGTCGGTTGAATTTACCGACGCAAAAGATAGACCTTTTGAGTCGGCATAGACCTTTTGCGTCGGTAAATTTGTGCCGACGCAAAAAATTAGACCTTTTTGTGTCGGCAACTGATGCCGTAGCAAAAAAAAAAATTTATAACCAAGATATATATTTATTTACTTGATTATATTTAATAAATATATTTATTTATACATATACTTTTATATTAATATTGAGTGTATATACTATAAATAATATATATCTCGTTTAATATCTGAAAGAGGTGTGGTGGTGAAGTGGGTGTAGTGCGTTGACCTTGGGTCAACTTGTCCAAATGGATGTGTGTTCGAATTTTGGGAGCCTCAGTGAGAAAATTATGAATTAAATTTTTTAAAACATTTAACCACTTTTTGAGTCGGCAATCTACCGTCTCAAAAAATTAAAACTTTTTGCATCGGCAGATTGCCGACTCAAAAACTTTTTGCGACCCCACCATTTTCGTCCCTTGAGTTGCCGTCGCAAAAAGTTTTTGCGTCGGCAAATCCGCTATTTGCGAAGGCAAATTCAAATTTGATGAAAGATTTGAGTAACCATTGGAGATGGTCTTAGGTAACAAATAATGCTATAATTAACTTATTTATTAAGTAGCCTCAAAATATTTTATAATATTGTCTATTTGATAATTATCACAAAATCTCTTTATTTCTTATTTCAAAATATTTACAACCACTAATAAGTCATTAAAAATTTCAAAGCATTATAATTTTTAGACTTAATTCAATGGATATGAAAGTTTCGATTAGAGATAAATTTTGTTTTATCTTATAGCATCAAATAAACAATGTCACATAATAGTTCGAAACTATCCAATAATTATCTCACATTGAAAAAATTCAGTGATTGTTTTTGTATTTTTGTTAAATGTTAAGGAGTATCTTAATTTTTACTCTTTTATTTGGATAAATTACATAGACCTCTTTGAGATTTAAAAAAAATACAATAAAGCTCATATATTAAGGGTTGGTTTGGGAAGTGGGTTGACTTTTTGAGTTTTTGGCTTTTTTAAGCTATTTTAGCCTGGGCTAAAAAGTTTGGTTTGGGAAGGATTTTTTTGGCTTTTTTGACATTTTTTGTGAGAGAAAAGTATAATGATTATGGGTTGGATGTGATGTTTTGTTGGTTGTGGCTAAAATAGCATATTTTGTCTTTTGTAACTAAAGTAGCAAAAAAAGCCTACAAACCTTCTTCCCAAGCAGATAAACATAATTACACCAACATCTCTTTTACAAATAAAATTAAGGGTCCAGCTTGTCTCAAGTTGAGATCAGGACTGGACTTGTCCAGTCCGGCCCATGGGGCTCATTTTTTGGGCCGTTTTGATAATTTGAACCGTTCAATGTGTAGAACTCGTCGAGTACTATATGCCTGTAAAAAATCACGTTGATCGGATATCAATAGCTATGTGATCAAATCAGTTTTGTATAAAAAAAAATAGACGGTGAAAAAATTAACGGTTGGTAAAAAACTATTTTGTTCACATAGCTATCGATATCCGATCAACGTGATTTTTTACAGGCATATAGTACTCGACGAGTTCTACACATTGAACGGTTCAGATTATCAAAACGGGACCCGTGGTGGGTTTTTACGGGCCTAACAGCATGGTCCAGTCCGATCTTTGACTGGACCAAAGCCACTACCTAAAATTAAAGTGATTGAAACTAATACAGATAGTGTATAAATATACGGATAAACAAAAATAAAATATATATTTTAATATAAAAACATATCACAACATCATTTTACCTTCTATATGATTAACCAAACATTGATGAAAATGAGATAAAATGTTGTGTGAATTAAAATATTAAAGAAACTTAATATAATTATGTCAAATTTGTGATGTGTAAGTTTTGCCATTTTTGAGTTTGATTGTCACAAATGACTTAACTCAGTAGTGTGGAAGTCATAATTAAAAATAAAAAATAAAAAATTAAGTTATAACCAAACATCACATTAGGAATAATCAAACAACTTTTGAATCATAGTCAAAATAATTTCATAACTAACCCACAATGTGGTTTAATTAATAATACAATATGTTATAACCAAAAACACAAAGATAATAAAATTTCACATTCAATATATCTTACTCATATTTACAATTCATTAACCAATTAAAACCTTACTCTATAGCATACTGTGTAAATTAACAATCAATCAATAATCAATAAGTATAATCTCATAAACAAAATTTTATTTCTTTCTACATATTCTATGTACAATTTGTGTGATTTATTTCTGTATCATGTCTAATTATCACAAAGGTATATGCGGATTTGTTGTTGATTCCCACTATAATCAGGTCAAGTTTGGAAAGACTAAATAAGTGTACTTTTTGACTTTTTATGAAATATGGGTTGGATTTGGGTTGGGTTTGAAGTGATGTGTTAGAGAGGTGATGTGACTTAAATAAGATGATGTGACTTATTAGATTGTCTACTGAAGTGGACATTAAAGTCTAGTTTAACAATTAGACATTTTAATAAAAAAAAATTAAAAAATTAAAAAATCATTATAAATTATAACATTATTTTTTTTACATATTTTTTTTATTATTTATTTATAAAAAACTAAAAAATCACTAAAATAACATGTTTGTAAACGTGACCTAAGTTTGATAATTACACTTTAGGTCTCACTAATCCCCCAAAAGTGCCCCTTTTAGGTAACGTTTGATAGAGTTTTAGAATTATGATTTGAGAATAAAGTTATATTTTGAATTTGTGAATTTTGAAATTATAATTTGAGTGTAAAAAATTTGTTTGGTTATAAATTTTGAACTGAGTTTGGAATTTTTGATGTGATACATGTTATTTGATTCAAAAACTTACAACTCATAACCAAACACACAACTCAAAATTCTATTCAAAGCTCATGAAAATTTTTAAAAAATTCCGAAAATATTTTTTGTTTAAAATATAAAAAATAACAAGTGCCAATTACCCCCCCAAAAAAATAGTACTGTTCCAGTCAACTGTCCGGACGTCCGGAAGAACGACCGGGTAGACCAAATTTCAAAATTCAAAACCCCACCTTGAAAGAGTTTCCAAAAGTGAGTGAAATTAATTTTTAAAAGTTACATCTAAACATCATACTCAAATATGAATATGGAGTCCCGATTACAATACCACACCACACAGTTAGATTTCCAAGATTTTCTCCCACCATTTTCAGTCTAAACACATTGCTAACTTCTATGATTAGACCTATAAAAAATCGACACCTTTAAGTGATTGTTATTTGATAGAATTATTCAATTATGTAATGGTAAGTCACAAATTCTTACATAAGTGATTTGAATTCACATATTTAACACTGAGTACAATTCACAGATTTAATTCATCCTACCAACATATATGTGCTGTGGCCTAATTACCAAAATAATAAAACCTGAGATCTCAAATTTACCCTCGAAGTCTTACCACAGTGCCACGGCCCTTCATTTCTCTCACCATTTTCTGTCCACAAAGAAAAAAAATAAAAAATAAATAAAATAAATAAATAAATAAATAAAATGATAGAAGCAGCCTCAGTAGCTCTCTATATATAGGACTCGTGTCTTGAAGGATTCGATCTAGCAAAGATGGGTCGAAGAAGTTGTCTCTAGGGAGAAATATACTTACTATTTCGAAATCATCGTATTCCAGGTAAATGAATATCTGAGCTCTCTGAATTTATTTATTTTTTTTGCTTTGATTATTTTTTTTTTTTTTCTATTTCACTGTCTCGTACTCGTTAGGTATGTTAATTTCGTTTCTTGGGTTGTTCTTGATGTTTCGATTTGGGGTTTTATTATTATCTCTATTGGGTTCTCTCTATAATGTTACTGTTGTTTTCGTGACGTTTTGTAGCTGTATGCATGTATATATATATATATATATGGCCTCTTTACTTATGTTGTGTTTGGTTAGAGATTTTGAAGAGGGATTTGAAAATGAAAATAACAAAAAAGTGGGGGAAGAACTGCTTGTGAGAATTCCTGCATGGTTCTTTCTCAACAGCCTCAGGGTTAGATCTCTTTGGCCTATCACCAAATGGCCTCTCCAATGAATTTATTTGGTTATTCATCTGTTCTACTCTAGTTTTGGGCAGTAGATCTTTACAGTTATCATCGACATTTTGAATATCCTTCGGTGACTTTGAATTGTGCAGTTTAGCAGCTTCCTTCTCTTTTGGCACTTCATATGCTCTGGTCATCAAGCTTTCTTCAGCTTCAGAAGCCGACTTACCATTACTTTGGCTTCCCTTCGACTTATTTTTGCTCTCAAACAAAGACTTTACCATGCCACTGTTGGCTATGTTATTATCATCCCATGTGAGTGGCTAACCCACCTTAGAGAGAGTGGGGTGGTTGGAGACCACTTTAGAGAGAGTGGGAGTGGCACCTCCCCACTAACCAATCCACTCACCATTGCTGTCCAGCTACCTTCCCTCATGATATGTATAAATAGAGGTTAAGAGGAGAGTAGACAACTTGAGAGAACCAAGAGAGAAGAGAGTGAGAGATGTGAGGTGGAGAGACCGTCTCTCTCGGTGTGAGAGAGAGAGACGGGTGAGTGGGTGAGTGAGGAGAGTGTGAGCTCCTCCCCTATTATAATCTTTCTGTAATCTCTCCATTGTTATAGTGATAACCGGTTACTCTCCCGTGGACGTAGGCTTTAAAGCCGAACCACGTTAAATATGGTTTCTCCTTCTGTGTGGGTGTGTTTTTCTACTTGGTATAATTTCTGGAAGGTCTTGGGCGGGATCCCCGATCCTAACAGCCACGAGGCATTTTAGCTTCAACCTGTTCATGATATGTAGTTGTCTGACCAACCTTGTAACGGGAATGATCCATTGCCCCAACATTATGATCTCTCCTGCACTTAGAAACATCAGTGTCAGCTTTCAATGGGTCAGAAACTTTTGCTTCCTTTGCTCTGGACATCTTCTCTAAGATCAGTTGAAACGTTCCTATGATAATTTTTTATTCTGCTTTCACAAATCTTCTCCATTGAACTACTCCTAGTCCTCGGTTCTGCCTTTTCATACTCACCATCCTTTTGATCAGATAATGACTCAGACTCCTTAACTAGCCCAGTTGATAATCTGTCTTCCATCCCATCCTTAGTCACTTCCCTCTTCTTCAATGATATGTTTCTCCCCGCTTCCCTAGGAATCCCAGGTGCCATGGCAGCACGTTTCACACTGTCCACAACATTGCATACTGAATTTGAAATACGCTTGGGTTTTGTGTCATTAGAGAAACACCCTTTCTGGCCCAGGGACTCATTTCCCATATTTCGCACTTCAATATCAACTTCGCACTTCACAATAGTAGTTCTTTTATCATCAAAATGCATACCAAGTTCTGGCTTCAACACTATCAAATTGTCACTCTTCTCCACTATCTTTGCTTTCTTGTCTTTTGACACTTTACTAACCCCCATCAAGGAAGCGGAATCATCTGCTAAAGCAACAGCATGCTCTTGCTCTTGATGGCAGCAACAGGCTTACTGTTTTGTGAAAGTTTTTCCTTTCTTGCCAAGCAAAGTAAACTCTCATGGAGAGATGACAAAAGCAAGCCACCAGGGACTGGAAAAGATGTCATACTCTGTTCCACGACATGAAAAGAGAACCAACAAATGCAAGTTCAACCATGTTCTTATAGGTCCATTTTGTAAATGAAGTATTCTGTAAGAAAAATGTAGAAATAAAATTTACCTGAAGTATTCTGTAAAGAGATTCATGCACGTTCTCTTGGCATTCAGATGACATCCCACCGCTCTCATCAGGACTGTTCCCCATTGACGATGATGGAGAAATAAGCCCAAGGCCACTATAGATTGCAGCATTTTTCCTTGCTCTGTTACCAGAACCACTCTGATTCGAACCTTCAGTGTTCTCTGGTCAGTTGGATTAACCGGCTTAATCAAAACAGGTTCATGTTTCATAGGGAACTTTTCAATAACTACAGCAGAAGACAAGCACGAATTTTGTTTGGCTGAAATATCCCCTGATGAGGCCCTTGCAGCATGCAATTTGTTCAAACTGCGGGAAGCAGTGTTAAGCCTTTAGAGCATTCGTATCAAACTAGCTATAATCGTTTTTTAGCTAAATTAGTGATATTGTTCATCAAAAATGGACATTCATTAGTCTCGTTACACTATGTTGCTAATTTACGAGTGCTACAGTATCTCGCTACAACAAGCGAGGTACTGTTTATCGCTACAATTGCGGGAAGCAGTGTTAAGCCTTTAGGTCTTTTTTTTTTTTTTTTTGCATTTTTTAAGACTTGTTTGGCTGATAACTCATCAATTTAATAAAAAAAGAAAAAATAACAAACACAATAAGAAAATAATATTTTAATAAGATTAAGTTAGAATAGAAAGCACCTGTAAAGCTGCTAGTGACAATAAAGTTAGCACCTGTAAAGCTGGATTGCAATTTGATTTATCCACTTCTCCAAATTCCCTTCCATATTCTGATAAAAACAAACCACTCGTGTATGTAGTTTCGACTGGATGTGTATTTTACCCAAATTTTAATGTATTTGGAACTTTTTCTTTTTCTTCTTTGTTTTCCTCTTCTTTCTTTTATTAACTGAACAAAATCCATATCAAACACCACAATAGTGCATCTGAAGCCAACTAAGGTACATTCCACAAGTTCATATTCAAAAATGATGTATTCTCTTCTCTCAGTGGTTGTGATCAATAAGTTACATAAAAACACCATTCATGGATAGATTATACCTTAAAACCACTTATTAGCATCATCAAATTGTGCAGTACAATTAAGTTTTATATTCTGAAGAAAAAGACTTCCAACCCTAATTGATCAACCAAGCAAACAAAAGTTGAACCGAATTACAGTAAGAACAGAATTGAACTCTTACAAGGTAAGAGAGAGCTATGTCAGGGTCAACACTTGTATCGTCCTTGTAGTAGCAAGCTTCGCCCTCTTCAAGCTCTGTATCTTCCATATCAACCCTCCAGAACACCAACAAACCCTAACCCTAACCCTACCCCAAAAAAACACCTACCCTAACATATCACACTCCTATCGCAAATAACTTCTCGACCCAACAAAACACTTCAAAAACCCACAAAAACCCAGATACCAATTCCTCTGAAACCGACTTAATCGAGCGTAATCACAAACCCTCATTGAGCCTACTTGATCATCATTAATACAATAATTTGATACATATAATCTGAGTATTGGGAGCCTTTGATTGTAACAATCGAACGAAGAACGAAGAAGCTCTCAATCCCTTCTTCAGAGCAGCGCTTGACCGCCAGCGGAATAGATTCGAATGGTACGATGTGGGGTTGTTCGATGGATGTGTGTTATACATGCACAGCAGAGAAAAGCTCGTGTTTTTTTTCTTTTCGTGTATTTGTTTAATTAGTTTTCCTTTGTTGTATGTTTTTTTTTTTTTTTTTTTTTCACTTTTGTCCTAACAATTAAATGTAATATAATATAATATTAATTATTATTACTATTAATATTAAAAATAGTAATATTGCAGGTCAATTATAATGCATTTGTTATAATAGATTACAGCGGGATGAATTTGTGGGATCTTATTTTTATTTATTTTTTATTTTTTTAAAGGTATATGGGGTTTGAAAAAAATAAAGTGTTCGGAGTAAGAGTAAGGGTAAAAGTAAGAGATCAAGAAAAATTAAAGAGATTATAAGTGTAAAGATAACGGCGTAGGGTAAAAATATGGAGGTGATATGATAATTGGTCAACATTAATGGTTGACAACGAGACCGATTTGTAGTATTTTGTGTTTTATTTTTTTATTTTTTTTTGTAAGGTATGAAAGGGTTTGAGAAAAAAATATGTGACCAAAGCAAAAGCAAGAGCGAAGGCAAGAAGTTGAGAAAAGTTAAAGAGATTTTCAATCCCCTCCTCACTACCAAACTCAATCCCCTCCCTATAACTCTAAACAAACGAGGCCTTAAAGTACAAGAATAAGGGGAGCAAGACACGAATGAGAGATGGAAAAGTAACTAGTCAATCTTATGATGGACAATACTTACGAGATAATATATTATATGAAATACAATGACTAATTAATGATAATAATCAAATATATCAAATTAAAGGAATGTTAATATTTATGTGTTTTAGTTTAATTTTATTTAACAAATTAACATATAAATATATACATACAAGTGTATTTAGACAATACAATTGGCGTGAAAGTGATCTAAAACGTGAGACCTTGTTTGGTTTGTGTTTCTTAAAAAATTTTGAGAAAAATTCTCTACAAATAAATTTTTAAAAGTAATCAAACCAAACAAATTTTCTCAAAATTTTTTTCCAAAACTTGTTTGGTTTACAAGTTTTCCAAACAAATCTCTCTCTCATACACATTAAATCAATCACTTTTTTCAAAATTCTCTCTCAAAATAACTTTTCAAAACATCTTTTGAAAAAAAATCAAACCAAACAAATTTTCGTATTTTTTATCTCAAAATATGTTTCTCAAATACAAACCAAACAATCTCATCATTTTCTCGTTTTCTTCTTAAGTTGGAAAAACCCGTGTGGCGCGAGGTGAGGCATGCCGTATATTAAGATGGGAAGGGGTTTTTTTTGGAATCATAGTCGTTTTTATAGCAAATAGTTAGTTTCATCTTTATTCCTATGTATTTTTTTTGCCATATAATTTGTATCTAGATATCTCTCTAACACTTACGATTTAAAAGCTAACAACTTGAGATTTAAAAGATTAATAAAGTGGTAGCTTTCATTTTTTTGTAAAGTAATGATAGTGGAAAAGATATAAATTTTGTGGGGGACAGTGTAATGCTTGTAGGTGTGTGAGGAATGAATTGGAGTGTAAGGTGAGATGGAGGGATATGTGGCTATAAAACAAGCGGTTATAGGTGATGAGGGGTGGAATTGAACTAATTGAAACATAAGTATTAGAAATAAAAATTTTATGAAAAAGTGTCTCAAAAAATTAAGTGTGAATAAACAAATGATGAAAAAACTAAAAATTTACTAGAGTCACAATGATGTGGCATCACTCTTTTTATTTTTATACATATCTTTTCTTAAAAAATCAAAAAATTATTAAAATAGTCTGTTTCTAAACGAGACCATGTTTTAACGTATATTCACGGAGAATCTCATATTTAATCCAACTAATATTCTCAATTTTCCAAATTAAGTTTTCGTAATAATATTCGTGTTAACTATTACTATCTATGTAATTGTTGTACAAAATATGTATTTAAATAAAAATAAGCAGATTCATATTAAATTAAATAAAAAATACAGAACAAGAGATCATGGGATCATGCTGGAGATTATAACTTGATGAATAGAAATCTATAACAAGATAAAATACTGAAATGAATAACGGAAGTAAACCAAAACTTATGTGATACCACAGTCTTTTTAAAACAGATTTGTTGCCTCATAGTGGGTGTTGGAGATTCGTTGCCTCATAGTGGGTGCTGGAGGTATGCCGGCATCTGTCTCCCAACCGTTAAGTCAAAAGTACCTTCTATGGCAAACTGATAATGATAGCACTCTGTCACGCAGGAAGAATTATATAGTAGAAGCAGACTGCCTATAATGCTAGAAAGCAAAAAAAATATGTGAGACACAAACAAAGAGGGAGGTCTTTTTTTATACACAAAGGGGAAGAGAGAGGAGGAGCCTTCTAGCAACAAATGCAGAATTCATTTATGTAAAACTACCTCATTCATGAGGCCAACTTTATAAGACAATTTCTCATTCAATTCTCAATGATTTTTAGTCTTTTTTTTTTTATGGTGTAAAGATCTTGTTACAAAAAATCTTGACCCATTTGATCCCACATAAAATTGATGGTTGGGACCTACTTTAATTTCACATTAAAGTCACCATAAAATTATTTTTTCCAACAGTAATTTGGTGACAATTCTGTCATTTCAGATCATACAAGACTAGATTTTTTAATAGGATTAAATGAGAGATAAGTCTCTTAAATAGGAGTTAAACTATTATGGTTTATATATATATATATATATATTTTGACTTGGATAAATAGAAGAAAAATAAAAAAATATTAAGTAATTGTTTAATGTTATTTACCAAAACAACCTGCATATCAACCAAGTATTCAGGTATATCTCATTAAATGATAATCTCTCTATACTATTATTAAGTGAAAGCCTAAATTGGTTTAGTGAAACTTTCTTCTTCTTATGCCATGTAGCAATTTTATACTATTATTAAGTGAAAGCCTAAATTGATTTAGTGAAACTTTCTTCTCCTTATGCCACGTGGCAATTTTATAGATGCAAAAATAAAAAATAAAAATTATTATATATAGTGTAAGTAAGTTTTGAACCCAAGACCTTAAGTTTCACTAAAAACATACTTATCACTTAAGCAACATACATACTATGATATTAAATTTTTTATTATTAATTATTTAAATTGTACATGTATCACGTGTGCTGTCCGCTAGTAAATATATTATGACCAGTGCAAGTGACATTGGTGTTAAATTCACACAAATGTCACTTACGCCATGCACACAGTTAGGCGCTGTGTTTATCATTGGCTAAACAATATTTATCACTGCCTAAACCATTGTCATTCTTCCACACAGATTAGTACATGACCGTCCGAGATAATGCAAGGCCCAATAAGGCCAATCTGTTGAGTGAGCCTGTTTTGATTACAAGCTTAGAACAAGTTAAAAGACACCTTTGGTAGAAGCTCTTGACAAGATATACACAATTGACGAGCCTTCGACAAGGATTTTGTCCAAAATCAATCCCTTTTTACCACATATATTTGATTTAGTTTATATACATAAACTAAAAGTATTGTAATGCTTAAAAGACAACTTCGTGATTAATATAGTTTCAACGTTGTTTCTCTTTTTTCTGCTAATTATTTGATATTCTGTGCGAATCAAGCAGTTATATTGATGCCTTTCATTAAGGAATCAACATGTTTAAAGAACTTTGCTTCCACTATTCATTATGGAATCAACCAATTTAAACACTGGTTTTATCTCTTCTCTCTATATGCGTCCATTACAGTTTACATCAACATGACAATGAGAGATCCGCCACATCGTAAGAGAGCGGTAATAAATAGTATCCCTAGCATTGTTGTTTAAGGACTAAGAGACAAACTCTGTCTGTTTCCTGTTTGCTTTCATCTTTCTGTATATTATGCTCACTAGAAATGGACGGATAGGATAGGAAGCCGCCTCCTCCTCATCCTCAGGCTGTGTCTTTGCAATATACAGTGAGTATTGGAGAATTATTTTTGGTAGCTAGTACAGCTGTATTATATCCTCCTGGAAATTACCTGGTTGTTTCCTGAACTGAAATCATGAAAATGAAATTGGTCGCAGCACATCTTGTTGTCCATGACAGTTGACGCCACACCACGACCCTTCCCAAAGAATAGCTAGACAATAAGACAATATAAATGCCTACTATAAATGGTCTGTGTCTCTCCCTCTTTCTCTTTTGTATTGATGGAATACTCTCAGCCTCAAGCCTCTCTTTCTGGTGTAACAGTCTTTTAGCCTACGGTAACACTTCCTCCCCTCTATCTTCCTCTAACCCGCATAATAATCATAAACATAATCATGATCGCCTTCACAGTCGTACAGTTTTAGGAGGAGGAGGAGGAGGAGGATAATAACATGAATGTAAACTGTAGCCGCTGTTCATTTTATGTAATATTACACATTACATAAGCTCGTTTTATTTAGGCCTTTATGTAATAACTTCATTTTGTCACACTATTTTGTGCATGACAAACTTTTCTGTATCTCTTGTACATTTCTCTAATAGATCTGTGACAGTTTTTGAAGTGCTCAGCATAGTCAGAAATCCACAATTCAAAAAAATAAAAAGAGAATAGAAACTATTGATTTCAATGAACATATAATGAATAAAAAAAGTGCATAAAATAATTTTTTCCTCCTAATATCTTTATACAACTCCATAGTACAGAAATCGGTGGAACTGTTTGTCAAAAGGTGTGAAAGGGACCTCAATAGCAGGCTTCCTCTATTCAATTTCATTGAACTTTGTTGTATGTTTGTAATTATTCCATTTATTTTGATTTTTTTTTCTTGAATATGAAATCAGAGCACTTGTGAGAATGGGGAACAAACTTCTATTAACTATCATCTGCTTATCGGATTTGGCTTGCATCTTTGGTTTCAATGTTTCCTCTGACGGGTTAGTGAGAATTGGTCTAAAGAGACGGGATTTGGACCTTAACAGCATATATGGCGTAGCAATCACCAGAGGAGAGGTTATCCATGCCAATGGTAAGGGCGACGATTCCAATAGTAATTGCGTTGACAATTTAAAAGATGATGTGGTGTATTTGAAAAATTTTATGGACACCCAATATTACGGAGAGATTGGCATTGGTTCACCTCCGCAACACTTTGCTGTTGTCTTTGATACCGGCAGTTCCAATCTTTGGGTGCCATCTTCGAAATGCCACTTTTCTGTGAGTTTTTTTTTTTTACCACTTGAGTGCCTAGTGTTGTAATTGTAACACTTGTTGGGTTTGGGTAATATATATATATATATATATATCTATAAATTAAATTATAATGCAATAACTTCATGCAGATTGCTTGCTATATGCATTCTAAGTACAGGGCAAAGCTATCCAGTACATATACTGAAATTGGTACATTACTTTCAAAAACTCGTTAAACTTTTCATAGAGTTGTATGTTTTTCCTATATACATAATAAAGCTAGATTCTGGTGTTGTGCATGCTGATGGAACCATAATATCAGGTTTCTTGTTCCATTCTGATATAGGAACATCTTGCAAAATCCATTATGGTTCTGGATCTATATTTGGCTTCTTCAGCCAGGATAATGTGAGAGTTGGAGATGTTATCATCAAAGATCAAGTGCGTGATTGTTTGTATCAAATTTCATGTTGTATTATTACTATATTCTTATTATTATTGTTGTTGTTGTTGTTATTATTCATGTCATGGCAACATTGATTTCATGACATTTAGGTGTTCACCGAGGCTACAAAGGAAGGATTATTTATGTTCTTGCTTGCACAATTTGATGGGATTATTGGACTTGGGTTTCAGGACATTGCAGTTGGGCAAGTCTCACCAGTGTGGTATAGTTCTTTTAGTCACTGATTGTTAATTTGACTGTTTTGGCATCACATGGTCACCCTAATTTGCTACTAAATGTGTGAAGAAATAGACCAAAAAAAAAATTTGGTGTTTCTCTGGCTGGCTCTTTCCTTTGATTTCTTTATATTGCTTGAAATTGAAACTAGACTTTGCTGGGAGTTCAGGTATAATATGGTTAAACAAGGTCTTGTGAACCGACAAGTCTTCTCTTTATGGCTGAATCGAGATCCTAATTCAAAGATAGGAGGTGAGATTGTCTTTGGTGGTGTTGATTGGAGGCACTTCAGGGGTGACCACACTTTTGCCCCAATCGCACAAAATGGTTACTGGCAGGTACATGAAAATTTAAAATTTAAGTTGTATATTATTGAAATTATTTAGTCTTCTTCTGCTGAGTTAAAAAGAGTTAATGATTGACATTTAACTATAACCTCTTACAGATTGAGGTAGGTGATATTATTATTGCAAGCAATTCAACAGGTGATGCTATTATATATGCTTTAACTAACGCCCTGGTTTACTCTTTAATTCCTCTCATTTAATTTTAAACAATTTTTTATTGAACTTTTTAAAAATTTTCAAAAGCTTTACGCTTTTAGCTTCTTGTCAACTAGATAAATTAGAAAAGTGTAAAAAATACAAAAAAATTGAAAAAAAGTACACTAAAGATTTTAAAAAAAAAAACCAAAAACTCAAAAATTACTAAAGACAAAAAAGTTCCAAAAAAAAAAAAGAAAGACTTTTTCAAGTGGATGCCAAACCACATGAAACAAGGACTAAATTTCAAGCTTGAATTGTGGAGATGTACGTTTTTCCTAAAAATATGTTGAAGTTTCACTGTGTTGAAACAATGTATATGGATCATGGTTCCAAGTTTCAACAAAAGTAAAAAAGAAAAAATGTGCAATTTTTCATTAACATTTTTTATGTTTAAACCCCAGAGTGTTTTTGTTAGATTAGCACGGTTGAACCCCCAACCTCTCATTGCAAACATTTACTCATCTTACATAGTTGTCACTAATATTAGGTGTTCACAAAATGTTTTGATCAGGTCTTTGCAAGGATGGTTGTGCTGCCATTGTAGATTCGGGTTCATCCTTTATTGCAGGTCCAACTGTATGTCACTCTTCATCCATTGTAACATGTTAACCAATTAAATATGATTTAACAATTTTTTATATTTATTCTAATCCATCTTTATTAGCTCTTTTTCAGGCTATTATAACTCAAATCAACCATGCCATTGGAGCAGATGGTGTTGTAAGCTTGGAATGTAAAAATATCGTTTCCAAGTATGGAGCTCTGATATGGGAATATTTAATATCAGGGGTTAGCTTAGCTTCTTTCTTCTACTTTTCTTATATATATATATATATTGTTCAATTTTCTTTTTGAGTGGTAGTGGATGAAATGAAAGAATGTTTCTTACATTTTGCTTATATTCACTTACTGACAGTTACAGCCTGAAAAAGCATGCGTCAATCTCGGACTATGTCCATATAATGGATCTCTGAATACAACTACAAGGTTATATAGTTTTATTTATTTATTTATTGGATATTAACTAGACCAACAATGATTCAAAACACTAATTTTGATATTCTAATGGAACACTAATGAGATGGCAATGAAGAAGAAAAAAAAATCAAGACCAAAACATCACATCACAGTGGGTAGAGCCTGCTACCAACTCATTAGAGCTGGTTTTAGAGCACAAGAATTAGTGATCCAAAATATTTTTCTTAACTAGACATGGATCCATGTCAAGAGTAATGGTAGGAATCATGAAAAAATATCATGAAATGCATCACGAAAATTTTTCATCCATTGATTAGTGTGTGGTGTTTTATTGTATGTGTAATCCGAAAGTGAAGAATCTTTCATGATCATCTTCATGACATTTTTTTTTATGATCCCTAACATTGCTCGTCAATTATTCCAAGTAGTCTTGCTGGTAACACGAACCATGCAAATCTGAATCCATGCAGCGCTGCCGATATTGAAACAGTGGTAGAAAGAGGTCAGAACTTAGATGGTTTACCAGTTGATGATGAGAGAGCTCTCTGTACTTTCTGTGAGATGATTGTTTTCTGGATCGAAGTGGAACTTAAAAAAGAAACAGCGAAGGAAAAAGTATTCAAATATGTTAATGAGGTGACATATATATATAAGAATGTAACATATTTGTTCATATTTGTCCAAAATCACATGATCAATAATGTTCACAGGGTACAGTATGTATATCATTTATTTTGTTTTTTTTGTAAATATTTTGAAGCTGTGCGAGAAGCTCCCAAATCCTAGGAGAAAAACATTTATTAACTGCGACAACATGGCTACCATGCCATATGTATCGTTCACCATCGGAAATAAATCCTTTCCCCTCTCCCCAGAACAGGTGCGTGAGTGTCCGTTGTCTTTATTTATTTATTTAATTTTCTCTTTCCTAATTAAACCGTGTTCCTTACAAATTTATCTTTATGTATATATATATGGGTAAAAGGGAACAATCAATAAATTAAGAAAAATACTATGAATCTCAAATAAATTATTAATTTTTTTACCAAATTTCTCACATGGGTATGGGACCCATACACTCACACCATCCATGTGAGAAGTTTGGTAAAATATTTGATAATTTATTTGAGATCCCTAACCTAACTCATAAATTAATTAGAAGAAAGTTACTAAGTTCTGGGATTCATTCCTACAACATCCTCAAATATATGAGTGAAAACATCATTAGGCATACAATCCAAAAATAAACATCAATAAGCTATAAAAAGGAGCATCATCAGTTAGTGGCACGTTTACGATGATATCTGTAGATTTGAAAACAATTGAAAGGGGATGGCCCACGAGAGATGGTTATCGATTGTTGAATGTGGTTGTTGGAGGTGATTGTTAGCCATCGGAAATGCTGGTAAAAAATGATTGTCACTGATGGGAGGTGATTGGTAGTGGACAAAAGTGATTGTTGAATGTAGGAGGGTGTTGGCCAAAAGTGATTGCCTATTGTTGGAGGTGGTGGCGGGCTATCTAAATCTAAGATGATGACCAAAGCTTGTATCCGACAAAAGGTGATGACGGACCTCGGGAGGTGGTTGTCAGAGGAGGTCATTAGTGATAGTGACTGGTGGTGATAAGCATTGGTGGTGGTTCTTGGAAATAGGAGAAAGAGAAATGAATTTTTTTTAAAAAACAAATGAAATTAACTTTTTTGTTTTTATTCAAAATTTTAGTAAATTACGTTTACAAAATTTTAAAAGAAAATGGTACTAAATGATTTCTTATATATAAATTTTAAAATTTCTATAAATATAAACAGAAAGCACTAGCATGCTCTAAGCATGTACTTTTTTTTTTGGTTTTGTTTTGTGTCTCTAGTATACCATCAAAGTTGAAGAAAGCTGTTCTACTGTCTGTCTTAATGGGTTCGTTGCTTTGGATGTGCCTGCTCAAAAAGGCCCACTATGGTATGTCATCTTCTGATTTTATTTTATTTTAGTTTTGTCATGACACATGGTAATCATCTATATGCATATATAGGAAATTTCCAACGAGCATGTCTATCTATGCAGGATAATAATATGCAATTCTTTATTACTCAGCTAATAGGAAAATGTGTGGAACCCCACAAAAGAGGATCCCCTGAACCCCCACTGATGTATTGGCTATTGATGTGTTTGAATTTTTTTTAGAAGTTGTGTCTGACAATGACATAAATGGTTCAGATCATTTTGGGAGTTGTGGGGATTGTATTTTGTGGAGATCTCTATTATTATTGTAAAATTAGTTAGTGGCAGTAATTTCAAAAGTGATTTTTTTTTTCCCCTTCTTGTGAATGACAAATAAGTGGTTGCATACATATATGTTTATATTGGATTACAGGGTTCTTGGAGATTTATTCCTTGGAGCATACCACACTATATTCGACTTTGGTAATCTCCAAGTGGGTTTTGCGAAAAGTGCTTAGTACTCCTAATTAAGTGGGATTTGAGAAAACTACATACCTGCTTCCTACTCCTTCAACTTCCTCCCTTTGATTGGTCTTGGCTTGTGAATGCAAGGTGCAATTAGGTGGACAATTTGTGAAAGTAATGTTAATTGGATGGATACACACATGTCTTGTAATAGTGTGAATTGCATCTTTTTTATTTATTAGCATTATAATTATTGTTTTTTTGGGTGAGAATTTTGATAAATAGGGCTTTATGTAAAAAGGTTACCCATGAATAAAAACAGATGTTACTTTGGCATGGAGATGCATCCATTAATAATACTCTTTTTTCTTGGTCCAGTGTTCCATAAGGAAGACATAAGCAAAGTCGGAAGCTAAGACCTCCAATATATTTAAAAAATAATAATTGACAAACTATTCTTTCCCTGTAATTTTTTTAATGAATTTTGTTAACGTATACTTTTAGATAATATGTTAAGATATTTTTAAAAAGTACACATTTTATATAAAGGTACATACAATAAAAAAATATACATCTTTAAGGCTCTGTTTGGGAAGTGGGTTAGCTTTTTGACTTTTTAATTTTTTTAGTTATTTTAGCCTGGGCTAAAAAGCTTGGTTTGGAGAGGACTTTTTGGCTTTTTGACTTTTTTTATGAGAGAAAAGTGTAATAATTATGGATTTGATGTGATGTTTTGTTTGTTGTGTCTAAAATAGTCTATTTTATTTTTTGTGACTAAAATAGTCAAAAAAAGCCTGAAAACCTTCTTCCCAAACGGTGCCCAATATGTGCTTATTTTAAAATACTTGCTAAATCAAAAGGTTACATTGGATTCCCTTTCCCATACTCCCACCGAAAAAAAACAAAAAAACAAAAAAACAAAAAATCAGATTATCATTGTGACTCCAATAATTAGACCAGCAACATTTTGAATGCGAGATGTACAATATGTCCTCATGCAAAAGCCATATGTTAATTATCTTACAAGTTATTACAAGTTCGTTATCAACATATATAATTTTTTATGAAGGGCAAACTTGTCTTGATTCTATATAATGAACTAGATAGGTGCAATACGATGTATCCAATAGGGGAAATGTACAAAATAATATCTTCATAATCACACTTCGTCGAGAGTTTTATGAAGTGGAGTTCAACATCTACTATAGCATATAAGAGTTTTAGAAATTATTATTTTTTATTTTGAAAATTGAAAATTTTGTTTCAAAAAATATTAGGAGACCAATTCTTACAGTAACAAGAATCATCACTAAAAGGTTGTTTCAAAAAAGAAAAAAGAAAAAACGATAAAATTTTGAAAATGTCGTTAATAAAAACACTTGGGGAACAAAACAATTTCATGTAAAAAATATTTACTTTTTTAGATAAATTTTTATCCAAAAAAATATAGTTATTCATCATTAAATGTCCAATTTCATGCTAAAAATTTAATAATATGACACTTTTGACAACTAAGATATTTTGCCAGCAAAAAATAATTTCATCCTTAAATTTTTTATCTTTAAAACATTGTAGCCATCTTCTTGTGATTTTTATTAAAACAAGACGTGTCTCCAAAAAAGATATAATTCAACTAAGTTCAAAATTTTAGTAAATGGCAATAAATTTTTTTTTATTTTTTTATTTTTTTCATGAGTGGGGTGGGTCTATTCCATTGGGCTTGCAGATGAAATGTCTCTCTCTATTTTTCTACACATCTTTTCGTAAAAAATTAAAAAATATATTTATTTAAATCATTCCAAACAACTCCTAAGTTAAGTAAGTCAGCTTAAAATTTATAAATTCTTTTAAGATTAGATTAGAAATTATTAGATTAAATGACACATCCTCTTACCGTATACAAGTCTGACCCAAGCCCAACCCGGTCCAGTGTTTGCCCACTTCTAGTAGTATTAAAACATATAAACACTCTCTTGTATATAGGATGACTATTGTATAGAATTTTATATGTTCATAGTGATATTTATATAGAAAAAAAATTGGAAAATACACTTGCCCCTTGAGGTATGACATTTTTCATTTTAATCCTTTAATAATTATTATTTCAATTTAAGCATTAAATTAAAAAAAAAAAAATCCCCTTCGATCCAATTGTTAACTACTATCATGATCAAAGTAATCTGCCATTTCAAAAAATAAGTTTCGCACTCTGATCCTTTTCATTTTCAAAATTTTTACTTCAATTCTTGAAGTATCTTATATAGTCCAACTATAACAAAATAATCTTTTATTTGTCACAAATGGCTTAAAGAGGCAATTATATAGGGAGAATTATAAAAAAGTGACATCAATTCTCTCATTTCTACTTTTTTTTATTTTCCGTATTTTAACATTTTCAATAAATTTTTTTAATATTTAATATAATTTTTTTTTTAATTTTTAAACACGTCTAACATAAATACACTTAAAAAATATAATATTTGTGAAGAAAAAAAAAACTTTAAAAAATACACTATATACCAAAAAATAAAATAAAATAAAAAAATTCAATACATTTATCATATTTTTATGTATTTATTAATTTTTAAAATATTTTTTCATAAATATTTTATTATTTAAAAAAGTAAAAAAATATTTAAAATTTAAAAAATATTCACTAAAAATAAAAATAAAAATACGAAAAATAAAAAACTCAATTTTCAGAAAACTGAAGCCAAACACACTAAATCATATTATGGATCACGATTTTAAATTGACATTGCCATATCTAAAAATGTAACAGTGTACTAAATTTAATTTTTGTATACAAATTTCTATCTTTAAACTATTTTGAAAGCAAAAAATTAAGAGTTAGAACTAACAACAATCATACGTATTCACCGAAATAGAAATGTAATTTTAATTTTGGGAAGATTGGCTTGAAGAATAACTAGGACCAATTCAGTCACCATTTATTTTCTAATTGAACTACAATTAACACCTCTATACTTTTACTAAAATAACATTTTCATCTATCCACTATCAATTGTGATAGCTAACTCTTCACACTTTAACTCACCTTGCAATATCACTATTTTCATCCATCCAGCATCAACGAGCCTCAAGAAAATTGGCATGTAAGCCACACAACACTTTTACAAGAACAAAATTCAAAGTAAAAAGTTCAATATAGAATTTTAATGAAAGTGTAGAGTTGTTCATGACACAAAAAGTTAGTTAATCTAACATATAGGCCTTCCAAAAACCATCGTGTATAGCTCACATATTAATTGTTGTCAATCTCATTAACTAAAGCCATGTTTGTTTGGAAATAGCCTTAGGATTTGATTAATAATGCTGCAAAATACATTATTTCATATTTGCCTAAGAAAATTAAAATCCAAACTTTAGTCCTTGAATACAAAATGAAGGACGAACTAAGTGATTCAATCTAATTGGCTAAATTACAAAACTTTGTCAATCTATCCCCATAATCCAAAGTAAATCCAAGCATGAGATAAAATACAAAATCTAACAAGATTAATAATCCCAGAATCAACAGTATTAGGAACACTAATTCCATTTAATCTAATCTGTCCAAACAAACATGGCATAATTGTTGAAAAAATGACATTCCAATTTAATTTGAAGTGTAAAGAATTACTGCATAATTTTTCCTTGCTATGAAAATGGACATCAAGATAAATGAGAGATGATACAAGGGATCCACAGCCCAAAAGAATCATGCATCTTCAAAACTAACGTAATCAATTGGTAAGCAACCATAACACATAATTAAGTGGACAAGTGTTTTTTTTCCTTCACTCATTTGGTTGATTGCAGGCTAAAAAAAGTATATAGAAGTAAATAGAGGAAAGAAAAAAGAAAAGAAGGTAAAGAAATCCACAACTAAGTTCCAGATTAATAAATTGATGACATTCTAAATGTGAGCAAACCATCCTATTCACATATCACCCGAAACGTCAGATTTTGAAGATAACACAAACTTTCATGTACATGCAAATAAAGCAAAACCAGCTTATCCAATTTGAACCAAGAGATAAACACATGCTAATCCAAATTATTACTTCTGGGCAGCACAAACAACAAATTTAACATTAAAAATAAAATTTAAAGAGAAAAATGGCAACTCCGCTGACCATAGGATGTGACATCAGTGGGAACTTACAAGGAAAGGCTGTTGGCAAACCCCACACTCTATGGTCTCGGAACCAGAGCTGGGAACTTGAACCTGCAACAATAATGCCATCAGACTCAGTTTTTAGACAAAAACACAAATCTGCATTCTGGAATTCCCCGATGGTGTGATGTACAAGGATTTCAAACCTGCAAATGAACCGTGCAAGTAGGACAAGCAACTTCTTTCATCCGCCTACCAGATCCATCTGACTTGGAGCCTGTCAAAGCCAACCATTCAAACGAACAATGACAATGGACACATTAATCATAACCCAGGACCCATATTATTCAGCTAAATAATTAACTGGGAAAAAAACTCGTTTTTATGATAGTTGTTTACTATATATATATATATCAAATATAGCATCTGTTGAGCATCAAGTCATGAAATCAGCTTTCAACTACACCACTAGATATACATTCAGGTGAATTCAATCCACCTGCTGTAAAGCCTTTTTAAGACATTTAAAACCAGAAATTATCAGATGAACTACAACTAAGTATATGCAAATGACGATTATGGTCGCTCTCTTGGGAACAGATCTATCTGACATGTCTGAACAGATCCAATACATGGATCTCAACAATAGGCGGGTCAAACTACTAGTTCCGTAGTATGACTCGTTTGCATGAGGATGCATCTATAAACACACCACATAAGATTAACATGAGGATGCATCTATAAACCACATAAGTTCTAGCAAAAGAAGTTACCTGATGATGCCTTGCGATTTCTCTCCATCTCATCCTGTGATAAATGATTAACATCAGAAAAAGATAGACCAAGGCAACCAAAGCATTAAAAAATAACTTCATTGCAAATTTTGTACTTCATATCTCACAACAAATAATATACATTTTCAGACGAGAGACCCAAAATCAATGGAAACAAATTTGATGACACCAGAAGCCACAGAATAGATACTATTTTATTTAGAAAACTTAATTGCCACAAGTTCATCTCCAAAAACTAAGAAGTTAGCACACATTATTCTCATTTATGCGAATTAAATGGTGTGTATTGATAAACCCTTCTAACACACTGGACATGTTTTTCACACTCCATCTTCCCAATTCACTCAACTGCCCATCAGCTCCTACAGCCAACGCTGGCTACAGCCGCTTCTCTTCCCCAAAACAGTCAAAATTGTTACATTGGCAGACCAAACAGAACGAAACAGGTCCTAGCTTAAATGGACAGCATAGATAGAAAGAAATAAAGGTCATGAGAAACTAAAACCAGTAAAGAGGAAACCATTGAAGTGAATTCAATGATATAATCAGTTAACTACTAGGGACTTATTCTCATTTTATTTTTTTTATCTTTTCATGAAAGAGGACAATGGGAAGGAGTTGCTCCTGGAATTAAAGCATCAATTGCGTGAACGGTAACCTAACTGAAAGGTTGAAAATGTATCTTATTATTACAGCCAAACTTACATACAATAAGCTTGCTGTGGTGATTCAAAACTAGAAAGTACTGTCAAAATTTCTATGCATGCTCTAGATTGGGCTGGGGAGGGAGCACCACCTCACTTCATTGAAAAAGATTTAAGATACCATGAAAACCATTGAGAACTACCAGAAACCAAATGACACAAAAATCACTGGAAAATATATATATATATATATTCAATCATTGATCACCTGAAGCTTCTTGGCAAGATCCTCGTGAGTTTGCAATCCAGCCAATTTGCTGGCTGCTTCCTTAGCATTACTCAACCTTTGAGTAACTTCTCCCTGCAAAGAAGGAAATATAATGAGATCTATCCTAACAAATGGAGTCGCCTATTTCTTTTAGACCAATGCATGTGAGCATATCCATCCACACAGAGACACGATCAAACAAATTCGTATCGTGAATCGAAATGACCTTGTACCGAATCGCGAATCGAATCGAATCATGAATCGTAAAGATTCGGTCACTTTTTTAAAATTACTTAAAAATATATATTTACACATTTAGATGTTAAACATATCTTATGAATATGAAATATTTAGACTTAAATCAATGAAAATGTTATTTTGAGTGATAATCACGTAGTTTAATAGGTAAGAAGTTAACAAAGATTCTTATGTAAGATCACTATCTTACTTTTTTTCTTTTTAGATATTTCTTATCAACTATTCTTAATAAAGATAATAACCAAATAGACAAATTATCACTAGATAGGTGCAATACGATGTATCCAATAGGGGAAATGTACAAAATAATTTCTTCATAATCACACTTCATCGAGAGTTTCATAAAGTGGAGTTCAACATCTACTATAACATATAAAATTTTTGGAAATTATTATTTTTTATTTTGAAAATTGAAAATTTTGTTTCAAAAAATATTAGGACACCAATTCTTACAATAACAAGAATCATCACTAAAAGGTTGTTTCAAAAAAAAGAAAAAAAAAAAGTGATAAAATTTTAAAAATGTCGCTAATGATCTTTAAAACATTGTCGTCATCTTCTTGTGATTTTTATTAAAACAAGACGTGTCTCCAAAAAAGATATAATTCAACTAAGTTCAAAATTTTAGTAAATGGCAATAAATTTTTATTTTATTTTATTTTTTTCATGAGTGGGGTGGGTCCATTCCATTGGGCTTGCAGATGAAATCTCTCTCTATTTTTCTACACATTTTTTCATAAAAAATCAAAAAATATATTTATTTAGATCATTCCAAACAACCCCTAAGTTCAGTAAGTCAGCTTAAAATTTATAAATTCTTTTAAGATTAGATTAGAAATTATTAGATTAGGTCCGATGTTAAATGACACATCCTCTTGCCGTATACAAGTCTGACCCAAGCCGAACCCGGTCCGGCGTTTGCCCACTTCTAGTAGTATGAAAACATATAAACACTCTCTTGTATATAGGATGACTATTGTATAGAATTTTATATGTTCATAGTGATATTTACATAGAAAAAAAATTGGAAAATACACTTGCCCCTTGAGGTATGACATTTTTCATTTTAATCCTTAAATAATTATTATTTCAATTTAAGCATTAAATTAAAAAAAAAAAAAAATCCCCTTCGATCCAATTGAACTACTATCATGATCAAAGTAATCTGCCATTGCAAAAAATAAGTTTCGCACTCTGATCCTTTTCATTTTCAAAATTTTTACTTCAAAAAATAAGTTTCGCACTCTGATCCTTTTCATTTTCAAAATTTTTACTTCAATTCTTGAAGTATCTTATATAGTCCAACTATAAGAAAATAATCTTTTATTTTTCACAAATGGCTTAAAGAGCAATTATATAGGGAGAATTATAAAAAAGTGACATCAACACAAATAGTTCTCTCATTTCTACTATTTTATTTTTCGTATTTTAACATTTTTAATAAATTTTTTAATATTTAATATAATTTTTAGACACGCTTAATATAAATATACTTGAAAAGTATAATATTTGTGAAGAAAAAAAAAATTCAAAAAATACACTATATACCAAAAAATAAAATAAAAATAAAAAAATTCAATACATTTATAGTATTTTGATGTATTTATTAATTTTTTAAAATATTTTTTCACAAATATTTTATTATTTAGATACATCTAAGTAAAGTGTACCTAAAAAAGTAAAAAAAAATATTTAAAATTTAAAAAATATACACTAAAACTAAAAATAAAAATAAAAATGCAAAAAATAAAAAATTTAATTTTCAAAAAACTGAAACCAAACACACTAAATCATATTATGGATCACGATTCTAAATTGACATTGCCACATCTAAAAATGTAACATTGTACTAAATCTAATTTTTGTATACAAATTTCTGTCTTTAAACCATTTTGAAAGCAAAAAATTAAGTGTTAGAACTAACAACAATCACATGTATTCACCGAAATGGAAATGTAATTTTAATTTTGGGAAGATTGGCTTGAAGAATAACTAGGACCAATTCAGTCGAGCAAGGATCCTCTAGAGTGATTTTTCCCTAAAGTTTCCTAAAGTGCTACAGTGTATGGTTGAGATTTACTGACAAGTCACATCAATTTTTCTGATGTGACTTGCTAGTAAATCTCAACCATACAATATAACATTCTAGAAAATTTTAGAAAAATTTCACTCTAGAGGATCCTTGGTGCAATTCCAGTCACCATTTATTTTCTAATTGAACTACAATTAACACCTCTATACTTTTACTAAAATAACATTTTGATCTATCCACTATTAATTGTGATAGCTAACTCTTCACACTTTAACTCACCTTGCAATATCAGTATTTTCATCTATCCAGCATCAGCGAGCCGCAAGAAAATTGGCATGCAAGCCACACAACATTTTTACAAGAACAAAATTCAAAGTAAAAAGTTCAATATAGACTTTTAATGAAAGTGTAGAGTTGTTAATGAGACAAAAAGTAAGTTAATCTAACATATAGGCCTTCCAAACACCATCGTGTATAGCTCACATATTAATTGTTGTCAATCTCATTAACTAAAGCCATGTTTGTTTGGAAATAGCCTTAGGATTAGATTAATAATGCTGCAAAATACATTATTTCATATTTGCCTAAGAAAATTAAAATCCAGACTTTAGTCCTTGAATTCCAATAATGGTGGAATACAAAATGAAGGACAAACTAATTGGCTAAATTACAAAACTTTGTCTATCTATCCCCATAATCCAAAGTAAATCCAAGCGTGCGATAAAATACAAAATCTAACAAGATTAATAATCCCAGAATCAACAGTATTAGGAACACTAATTCCATTTAATCTAATCTGTCCAAACAAACATGGCATAATTGTTGAAAAAATGACATTCCAATTTAATTTGAAGTGTAAAGAATTACTGCATAATTTTTCCTTGCTGGAGTATTTGAAAATGGACATCAAGATAAATGAGAGATGATACAAGGGATCCACAGCCCAAAAGAATCATGCATCTTCAAAACTAACGTAATCAATTGGTAAGCATCCATAACACATAATTAAGTGGACAAGTGTTTTTTTCCTTCACTCATTTGGTTGATTGCAGGCTAAAAAAAGTATATAGAAGTAAATAGAGGAAAGAAAAAAGAAAAGAAGGTAAAGAAATCCACAACTAAGTTCCAGATTAATAAATTGATGACATTCTAAATGTGAGCAAACCATCCTATTCACATATCACCCGAAACGTCAGATTTTGAAGATAACACAAACTTTCATGTACATGCAAATAAAGCAAAACCAGCTTATCCAATTTGAACCAAGAGATAAACACATGCTAATCCAAATTATTACTTCTGGGCAGCACAAACAACAAATTTAACATTAAAAATAAAATTTAAAGAGAAAAATGGCAACTCCGCTGACCATAGGATGTGACATCAGTGGGAACTTACAAGGAAAGGCTGTTGGCAAACCCCACACTCTATGGTCTCGGAACCAGAGCTGGGAACTTGAACCTGCAACAATAATGCCATCAGACTCAGTTTTTAGACAAAAACACAAATCTGCATTCTGGAATTCCCTGATGGCGTGATGTACAAGGATTTCAAACCTGCAAATGAACCGTGCAAGTAGGACAAGCAACTTCTTTCATCCGCCTACCAGATCCATCTGACTTGGAGCCTGTCAAAGCCAACCATTCAAACGAACAATGACAATGGACACATTAATCATAACCCAGGACCCATATTATTCAGCTAAATAATTAACTGGGAAAAAAACTCGTTTTTATGATAGTTGTTTACTATATATATATATATATATCAAATATAGCATCTGTTGAGCATCAAGTCATGAAATCAGCTTTCAACTACACCACTAGATATACATTCAGGTGAATTCAATCCACCTGCTGTAAAGCCTTTTTAAGACATTTAAAACCAGAAATTATCAGATGAACTACAACTAAGTATATGCAAATGACGATTATGGTCGCTCTCTTGGGAACAGATCTATCTGACATGTCTTCACAGATCCAATACATGGATCTCAACAATAGGCGGGTCAAACTACTAGTTCCGTAGTATGACTCGTTTGCACGAGGATGCATCTATAAACACACCGCATAAGATTAACATGAGGATGCATCTATAAACCACATAAGTTCTAGCAAAAGAAATTACCTGATGATGCCTTGCGATTTCTCTCCATCTCATCCTGTGATAAATGATTAACATCAGAAAAAGATAGACCAAGGCAACCAAAGCATTAAAAAATAACTTCATTGCAAATTTTGTACTTCATATCTCACAACAAATAATATACATTTTCAGACGAGAGACCCAAAATCAATGGAAACAAATTTGATGACACCAGAAGCCACAGAATAGATACTATTTTATTTAGAAAACTTAATTGCCACAAGTTCATCTCCAAAAACTAAGAAGTTAGCACACATTATTCTCATTTATGCGAATTAAATGGTGTGTATTGATAAACCCTTCTAACACACTGGACATGTTTTTCACACTCCATCTTCCCAATTCACTCAACTGCCCATCAGCTCCTACAGCCAACGCTGGCTACAGCCGCTTCTCTTCCCCAAAACAGTCAAAATTGTTACATTGGCAGACCAAACAGAACGAAACAGGTCCTAGCTTAAATGGACAGCATAGATAGAAAGAAATAAAGGTCATGAGAAACTAAAACCAGTAAAGAGGAAACCATTGAAGTGAATTCAATGATATAATCAGTTAACTACTAGGGACTTATTCTCATTTTATTTTTTTTATCTTTTCATGAAAGAGGACAATGGGAAGGAGTTGCTCCTGGAATTAAAGCATCAATTGCGTGAACGGTAACCTAACTGAAAGGTTGAAAATGTATCTTATTATTACAGCCAAACTTACATACAATAAGCTTGCTGTGGTGATTCAAAACTAGAAAGTACTGTCAAAATTTCTATGCATGCTCTAGATTGGGCTGGGGAGGGAGCACCACCTCACTTCATTGAAAAAGATTTAAGATACCATGAAAACCATTGAGAACTACCAGAAACCAAATGACACAAAAATCACTGGAAAATATATATATATATATATTCAATCATTGATCACCTGAAGCTTCTTGGCAAGATCCTCGTGAGTTTGCAATCCAGCCAATTTGCTGGCTGCTTCCTTAGCATTACTCAACCTTTGAGTAACTTCTCCCTGCAAAGAAGGAAATATAATGAGATCTATCCTAACAAATGGAGTCGCCTATTTCTTTTAGACCAATGCATGTGAGCATATCCATCCACACCATAGTTGTTAAATCGAGATTCGTATCGTGAATCGAAATGACCTTGTACCGAATCGCGAATCGAATCGAATCATGAATCGTAAAGATTCGGTCACTTTTTTAAAATTACTTAAAAATATATATTTACACATTTAGATGTTAAACATATCTTATGAATATGAAATATTTAGACTTAAATCAATGAAAATGTTATTTTGAGTGATAATCACGTAGTTTAATAGGTAAGAAGTTAACAAAGATTCTTATGTAAGATCACTATCTTACTTTTTTTCTTTTTAGATATTTCTTATCAACTATTCTTAATAAAGATAATAACCAAATAGACAAATTATCAATTTCCAAAATAACAATAATTAACAACGATATTGATATTTGGACAATAAGCATATTTACTTTTCTAAGTAACAGTGAACAAATAATAAGAAAGAATTATTTAAAATATTTTATTTTAAAGCCTAAAACATTTTCAAAGGTATAACTGACCTCACATATGTAATATTCAATTTAATAAAATAGCAATAGATAATTCATAGTGTAACTTTAATCTTAAACATCTTTAGAAGATATATTATGATTTTTTAAAGGGAAAAAAAAATGAGAAAAAAGGTTAAAAATATGTTGGGTCTGACTATATCTGATTGAATTCTATTAAAAACTTCATGATCATTAAAATAACAACAAATTATGTATATATGTTGATTATTTTGGTATTAAACGCTATTAAAAGTTGTATTATGTCATTTTCATTAAAAACATAGAGAAAAAAATAGTCGAAAATATGCCGAACACAATAATTTAAAAAATTATATGAATCATAAAAGTGAATTGAATCCCGAATCGATTGTGAATCGTGCGATTCACTAGAAATTTACTTCCAAAATAGATTCACCCATAGATTCGTATCGATTTTGCAAAAAATTTGAATTGAATCGTGAATCGAATCGTAAATCGTAAGATTTTGATAAAAGAGATATTCACCCATAGATTCGTATCGATTTTGCAAAAATTGTGAATCGAATCGCGAATCGTAAGATTCTGATAACAGAGATCCACACAGAGACACATTCAAACAAAAAAGTAAATGAAATGGTATGAAGAAGCCAAAGAATTGAGTTCATTGCAAAAGCATTAATAAGAACGAAGCAAATACTTCTAGTCTTAGATGGGTTGAGCAGCTATCAAGCTGTACAATTGACATTTATATCATTTGTCACTGGGCATTAAGTTTTCTGAACGAACAGTCCCAACTAAGTCAGTTATTTTGTTGGTGGTACAACACAAAGGTGTTTAAAATGAAAGATTTAAACAATTATCCACACCCAAGCTTGCAAATCTGCAGATAAATAAGTAATCCGTCAATAGTAGATGCAACATAAACCGTGATACTCGACAAGCAGGATTAACCCATGATTTGGTGAGCAATCCATTGATAGTGGATGTAACCTAACACGTGATACTCAACAAGCAGGAAGTAACCCATGAACGGTGGATGTCGGATAATCCCAAATAAAAATAAAGATAAAATAATAAAAAAAAGATTATTAACTGGGATATGAAATAAGAAACATCAGAGTGCAAAATAAATAAACTAATTACAAACCATGCATCGATCACAAACTCGAACAGGTTGGGTATTCTCTTCAGCTGTAAGAGCAATTCTACCACGTGTACATTTGTCACAAAAAATATCTCCACAATTCCTGCAGTGATGCTGAAAATGGAGAATACTCATTAGGTTCATCCTAAAGAAAATATACAAGTTCTCTTATTTCAAACATAGCCTGCACAAACAGCTAAGTCAATAATCTATTAACCATGTAAAGAAACATGCCTTGCGCACAAAAGCATTAAAGTCCATCCCACAACCAGTGCATTTGGAAACTGCCTCGTCAGGAACCTAAAAAAACAAGAAGAACGCATCATGAAACTCAGGACTCCAATCAAAACATTTTAAAATGTCTAAACATGACAAGTAAACCTTCTGGAAATGGACTCAACTTAAAACTGAGGAAAGCTTGCATAATGTTTCCAATTACAAGCAATTTCAAAAATTCCTATGTCTTAATTGTTGATGTAGCTCATTAGGTGTTCACCTGAAACACTGTAACAACTCTTGAAACAGACACCCTCTCCACAATATTTTCAACAACATTACTAGTATGTCACTATAGTCAACTAACATTCTAGCACATGAAAAAGTAACGCATTTTCGAACCACAGATCACAGGCATTCTCTTTATAGAGGATAATCCATTCCCACGAATCTAGCTTCTAAAACCAATAAAATATTTTCAGGTTAAGTTATAAGAAGCTCTTCCCATTAACTAAATCATGAGATCAACAACTAAAATAAAACATTTAGTAATAATAGGAAATCCAACCTGTGATGAGGGAATTTTAGCATTCCCTAGAATAGGCTAATTTCATCTTCTAACACTCTGTTTGGATTGATAGTTTTGGTGAGAAAAGAAAAGAAATGGCCAGAAAGGGTGAGAAATAGTGAGAAAGACAAGTCCTTTACTTTGCCTAAACCATTTCTCACCCAAAGTGGTGAGATTTGGTGAGAAAACAAGTTGATTGGTTATAAAATACTCATACTACCAAGATTGTCCCCTAAAATATGAAGTAAGAAAAAAAATCTCACTCATGGCCCTTTGTCAAATTATTTGCTTTCTTATCCATCCAAATATGATAGTGAAAATCACAATCATTTCTTTTCTCACCTAGACGAGAGACCACAATGACTTTTTTTTCTTTTCTCATCCCACGATCCAAACGGAGTGCAAAAGTTTGTTCTAAAAGCAAATAAGTGTAATAAACAATGACTTGCTTTTACTAAAATATAACTCATGCCTAAAACAACAAAACTTCAAAACTAATAAATAGAAATTAAGAAATTATAAATGCTTATTTAATGGTTCCATTTCCAATGATGCATGATCATGACAATAAACATGACAATTTGCTATTATTTTCAGAGAAGCAAATGCATTTGAAAAACTCCATCATTACCCAATGATCTTTCTCCTCATTTCCAGGCTTTATAATGTTCATCCAGTCACCCAAACCTTTCTTTTTCTCAGCAGGCTGCTCAGAGGGCTTCAAGGAATCAGAAGGCTTGCTTCTTCCACCCATCTCTTTAAGCTGTTTTTTTTTTTTTTATTATCAAACAATAAAAGAAATAAATAGTCACTAACACACACCATCCAAAAGTATTCAAAATTAATGGGGGTGTTTGGCAAGTTGGATTTTAGCCCCTTTTTTTAACTAAAATCCACAAAAAGACAAAATAGGCTAAAATAGCGTCACATCAAATCCATAATCATTTCACTTTTTCTCTTACAAACATCACATTCAATTACAAAAAAATCCAACTATCTTCCCAAACACAAAAATTTTAGCCTACTAAAATAGTCTACTAAAATAACTTCCCAAACACCCACAATATATATATATATAAGAAAAAACCTCTCTCTCTCTCTCTCCCCAAACACACGTGCACATTTTCACAAGGGTTACAAGATTTATTGAGTCCACCACCCATGAACATGCTTTTTTCAGCCTTAGCATTATGGTCCTCCAACATCTTTATTAGAATAAACAAATAAATAAATGTGTGGCACTAGGGGGATTGTGTCCTTTAAATTTTTTCAAAGCTACTTCACAATTAAAAACTGCTCACGCCATTCATTAATGTATTAAGGGATTACTTTTACATATTAGTGGAGACCTAAGAAGCACACACTTCTAAGAACTTGATGTATCTGTGTTGGACACCAACACTCTTTGGACACTTCCCCAACATGTGACCGACACTCTTCAATACGTGTCATATTTTTTAATTTTTTTTAAAGACTCAGACACTCTTTTGGACACTTTAAAGACACACGTGTCTATTGATTAGACACAGGTGAAACTAATTATAAGATACAATAATAAAACAAAAGCCATATAAATTTATAGGAATTGTCATATTGCATTTTTCATTACCTTTGAATAACATTTATATATATAACATATAATAAATATATAAAATTATATATTTCATGCATCTGCCCCACGTATTGTGCTCTGCATTTTTTTAAAATTGACGTGTCAGCGTGTCCGGGTTGTATCCGGATCGTGTCGCATGTTTGTGTCCATACTTCTTAGGTGGAGACTCCTTTGGAAGTATAGTTGATATCAACCTATGATCTCATTGCGCACTGTACACCAACATCATAATTACAATGATAGCCTTTTCAAACAGTAAATAGATTCTTTCACTTTCTCTACCCTTATAATGTAGAACAAGTATGTAAACAAATGCTTCTAGGGTTTGTTCAATGTGGATAAATTACTATTCTCACTATTTCTAAAACAGACTTTCATATGGTCCAAATGAATTTCAATGTTGAATAATGCTGTGAAGGTTAACTGTCAAGATGCTTATTTTTCATCCCAACCCCCAACCTCTGCCCCCCACATATTTTACAAGTTCAAACTACATGATTTCAGTTTCTCTAAGATCAAGTGGTTTCCACAACTCCACACCACCTTCTATTTCAACAATAGAAAAAGAGAAGAAACATCTGTAAATTTATCTACAGCCAAAACAACAGAAAAATGAAATATGTCTGGAAGACATAAAAATAAAATAAAAATAAAAAAACTGAATAAAGCAAGTATAATGAATGTAAAACAACTAAAACTCTAAACTGTAATTAACGGGAAAATCTTATTTTCTTAGTACAACTCTTTAAGGTTAAAAGTAATAAATCATTTAATCAGGGTGATATCAATTCCTAAGAACTAAAAGAAAACAAAATGCCGAATCCTAAGCCCAATACAGAAGAAACAGAACAGGAGAAGTACAAGTATTATGATTCTTAACCTGTACAGTTGCAGCTGTCACAATGTCCAGAATAGTGTTGGTGGTGTAACTGTTTGACTGCAGTCTGATACGTCTTGGTTCAATATCCACAGAGCTTTTTGACCAAAATGCAAACGTAGATGGATCATACACCTAAATGACATGAAAATATGCAATGAATTAAAAGTGATATTGAAAAAGTTAAAACCAAATTTAAAGAAAAAAATAAAATCAACATACCTCAAATCTCGTTACTGTCTCAAGTGGATATATTCTCAATGTCCGAGATGTACTGGGATCAAGCATACGAATCCCATCCAAACCAATCTGACAAGGAGAGATCAATGATCAAATCAGCATGTCAAAGACGAAAAGAGATAGTTAACGGGAGATGAAGGAAATGAAACAAAGCAAGATTGGCGACTAACAAACAAAATGAAATAACATCCAAGGCAGTCACACACTGAGAATTTAACTACCACTACAAAGTTTGATGCTAGAACACTACTACAAGTATATTTAACCTACCAACCCCACGCCACCCAAAATAAATAAATCATCAAAAGCAATGGAAAAAAATAAAGAATCATAACGCCAAGAAAGAATTAAGTGGGTTCAAGTCCCAACCACCATAAAATTATTCAAAAATCATAATATAATGTCTTGACATTGAAAAATTGGACCTAGGAATTCAATATAAATTATAATAAGAAAGAACTTAGTAAATCATTTATATTAAAACATAAAGCACTTCATGTATGTTTAGTGTTCAAAAAAAAAATGTTGAACCATTGGGTTAGAGACTCACCTGACCATTATAAAATTAAACCTTATTCATTCACTAAAATAGCAATAGATAACCATGTGTGCAAGTTAAACTTTATTCATTCACTATGGATTTTTTTTTTTTTTTAAAGAAAAAAGGACATTGGGTCTGACTGGATCATATTGGATCCTATTAAAAACCCTTTTATCATTAAAATAACAACAAATCATGCATAGGTATTGATTATTTTCATACTATACCAATGTTACCAAAAAATGCTAATACCTTAGCGATTTACGTTTTGGAACACACATTCTGAAATATAGTATACTTTCATTCCAAAATGATGAATTTAATGAGCCAAAGCGATCCCAAAATTTCTCTCTTTGTTTTCTGAAAGTTTTCCTTACCTTGTGTTTGGTTAGAGAATTTGTAAAAAGATTTGGAAAGAGAAAAGGAAAATGCAGGTGAAATGTGAATAAAATATAATTATATTTTACCTAATTTCACACACATTTTTTCCTTTTCCTTTTCCTTTCCCTTTCCCTTTCTTTTTCCAAATCCCCCAACCAAACACAGGCTAAGGATGAAAAAATCTAGTATAAATGAATTAAAATGCAAGTAGGATGGAGTTTTGGTAAAAACAAAATATGAAACATGGGCCATAATACTCCTACAAATGTGTTTAAGAGAAATTTTTCTAACAATTAGAGGCACCTTTCTAATAGTGTAATTTATACAAGCCTACCCTTATTATACTACATTTTAGAGCATGTGGCATACCACATTTCGGTTCCTAGTCCTCATATTGAAACAATATGCATTCCAAGTAACGTAGTGCTAAACACCCTTAGAAGTTGTATAATGTCATTTACTAAAAAAAAGGTAAAAAAATGGACAGAATTTGTCGGACACAATAATTCTAAGAATTGCATGAATTGTAAATCAAATCGTAAATTGATTGTAAATTGTGCAATTCACCATAAATTCTATCCAAAAATATATTCACCCATAGCTTGGTCGGTAGCTGCTTGGTCTCATTCAAGAGTCTAATCTCTTTGTGCTGCTATATCAATCAATACATGAATCATGAAATGAATTGTGAACTGAATCGCAAATTGTAAGATTCTAATACCAGAGTCCTCCACTATAATTTCCAGAAATTAATTGGCTCAATAAAATTGGAGCCATCAGCACACCTAGTGGAATGTAATTGTAGAAATTTGATGTGACTCTGCCCATTCATGGTAATAGCACAAACGGAAACGGAGCAACTCAATTACCATAAAACAATGCAAATAGCCCCTTACATAATTATCTAAATACAGGAAGACAAATAAAAGAATCATACCAAACACATCAAATCTACCAACATAACTTATGTTAACAAAACCCAAAATTAAAAAAAATAAATAATGGAACTCAGAGGAATGCCACCCCAATCAACTTCTTCACATGAAAGAAAAAATTATACCTAAAAGTGAAATATTTCCACTATAATTTCCAGAAATTAATTGGCTCAATAAAATTGGAGCCATCAGCACACCTAGTGGAATGTAATTGTAGAAATTTGATGTGACTCTGCCCATTCATGGTAATAGCACAAAACGGAAACGGAGCTACTCAATTACCATAAAACAATGCAAATAGCCCCTTACATAATTATCTAAATACAGGAAGACAAATAAAAGAATCATACCAAACACATCAATCTACCAACATACCTTGTGTTAACAAAACCCAAAATTAAAAAAAATTAAAAATGGAATTCAGAGGAATGCCACCCCAATCAACTTCTTCACATGAAAGAAAAAATTATACCTAAAAGTGAAATATTCTCCCTTTTTCTTTTTTTTTTGTGGATAAATTTCTGATATCTCTCAATTTCAACACGAGATCAGGTCGACACACGTTTAAACAAGTATTATGTGAAAATGTAAATTGTGCAAGTAGTTAAAATAAATTTGGAAAACAAAGAACAACCAGACAACAAAGGAACACAAGGGTACCTGGCAAAGAACATCCATGGTGCCCTGGATTCCACTTTCAGACAATAGCTTAACCCTAAACTTCTGCACCCCACTCTTCACATCTTGCTGGGAATCAGCCTTTGGAACAGCCCTCACAATCTTGGCAGCTGAACTCGATTGATCTTTCCCAGAAGGAAAACTAATTGGCCTTCCAAAATCATCAAATCCCGACCAAGTTGAAGACTTGGGTGCCGTGCCCCTAGCACCATAAGGCTCCGACTTACCCCCTTGATAAGCATAAACACCATCACCATAACCATACCCATCATCGCGATACGAAGGACCCGAATCAAACCGAGACATCCCACTATCCGATCGCTTCCCATATAATTCAGTTCCCAAATCCGACCGACTCCGATCATAACCACTATCCGATCGCTTCCCATATGACTCAGTTCCCAAATCAGACCGACTCCGATCGAAACCACCACCATACCTGGCTGACAATTCATCCAAATAACCCCCACCTTGATCGAATTTCACGTTACTCTCATGTGAATTTTCATATACAGGTGGAACTGAAGAGCCTATATGAGTGTAAGGGGACGAGTACGTATTGGTGTAAGGTAGGTTTGGGTTTGGGTTTGGGTTTGGGTTAGGGTTAGGGTTTGGAGGAAACGAGGATGGCGGGGCATAATTGGGAGCCGTCTGATGCTGATCGAACGGTGGATAGTACGATTGTGGCTGGGTTGGTGGCAGGTAAGGCGCATGCTGATCGTAAGGTTGAGCTGGTGAGGGAGTGAAAGACTGTAGATTAGGATTAGGGTTAGGGTTTGGATTGTAAGAAGGAGCTGTGGGAGGTAGAGGATCGGGATTTTGAGGATATGGAGGGTATGAAGAGGAATAAGCAGAGTAATCTGAGGAAGAGAAATTGTTCGAGAACGGTGGAGCTGAGGCGTATGTTGATGGCAGAGGATTTGGGTTAGGGTTAGGGTTAGGGTTAGGATTAGGATTAGGATTAGGATTAGGGTTAGGGTTAGGGTTTGGAGGGTATTGGTAATAGGAGAGAGAGCTGTAGTCTCCTTGTTGCATTGTTTGCAGAGAGGTGGGTTTGGGACGATGATGGAGAGAGAGAGAGAGAGAGTTTCCTGTTTTATTTTCTTGCTTTAAATTTGTTTTTCTCGGGAAACAATCAGGGGTTGATTGTTTAGTGTCTTTTCTTTGTCTTACCGTCTGAACAAGAAATTATTGGTGCTTTAAGCGTGTTGAGCGGCCACGTGGCTATACGCATGTGCTGGAGTGGGTGACCGTATGCGGTGACGGCAAAGTACTCGATTGGGCCAAATGGGCCCCGTACAGCAGTGCAGTGAACCACAACAGCCAATGAGTCCGTTGGGCTAAAATTGAGTAATTGACTGTTTGGTAAGAAATAAAACAAAAACTAATTACCGCTAAAACAGTAATTATAAATATAAAAATTTGTATATCAAATTGATTATTAGTACAACAATCTTCATAATAGGAGAGGAAATATATACCATAAGTATTGAAATCTTCTTCATAAGAGTTAAATATGTGACATCACAGAGTTAGAGTGATTGTTGCACGTTATGTGCAACGACTGTTGTGCACAGATTAGGCCCATTTTAAGGTTGATTTCAATCAGTAAATCACATTCACAAATGTGATTTGAAATGGTTACCGATGTTTAATAAATTTGAATTTTTGTAAGTATATTATACTCAATATTTTTTAAAAAGTTAACGGTTCAGATTATCTCAATGGGCCTAATCTATTGCACAACAGTTGCTACTGTGCATAGGTTACAGTAACAACCCCAAACCCCAACATCAGACTATAAAAATAGTGCTACACAACAATTAAGTCAAATACCTTGGTTATAGATCTGCAAACGAGTTGAGCCAAGCCAAGCCGAACCGATCTATTGAGTGTCCACGCTTGTTTACTAAGAACTAATCGAGCTCGAACTCAGCTTATCAAATATTTGAGAAACTCGAGCTTAGCTCAAGCCAACTCGCTTATATAGATGAGTCAAGCTCGAGCATTAAAAAAAAAAACTTAAATTAATTTACTTATTAAAATAAAAATTAGAAATTTATGAACAAAATATACAAGAATACTTATATTAATAATAAATTTCATCAATCAAATATTTAAATCTACACAAACACCAAATACAAATAGAAAAATAAATAAAATAATAAAAATTTATTTAATATATTATAAAAAAATAATATATTTTCTTATATTCATGAATCTTAAACAAGCCTAAAACTCAAGTTCGAACTCATTTATTTAGTAAACAAATTGTGTTTAAACGAGTTTTAAATGAGTTAAACTCGAACTGTTCATGAACCGCACAGTTTATTTGCAGTCCTACCTGATTTTGTTTGGTAACAATTAAAAGGTTCTTTTAAAAAAATAATAAAAAACTTTAGTGAAATTTTTAAAATTTGTGTCCAAAATTCATACAATAGTAGGACTGCAAAAAACATTAAAGAATAGACAATAGTAGGACACATGGCATTACCCTGTGCACTGAGATTGAAGGAAGTTATGAAATAGCATGGAACATATATGGAAAAGATGGTGGAGAAAGTGGAGGAGTTGGGAGGAGATTATAGAGAGACATATGGCAAGACAAGAATGAAAATGGGAGAATAGGATAGTTAATAGTGTTATGCAATAACTTGGTTTCAATCGCATAATAAATAATAACAAGAACAAACACACACACATAATACACAATATATACATAGTTTGGTGAGATGCATGCGTCCATGGCAGAGAAACAATCAAAATTTGCTATACGCCATAAGGATTACAAAACATTCAACAAGTCTCTATTTCTAATACACTCACTGCAAATTACATCAGCCTATCTTTTTCTCTGTCCTAAAACGTATGCATCGATACAATATATAGAGTCAATAGGGCTGAAATTAACATTACAAAGCCAAAACTAACATTACAAGCCCGTAAATATCAATTTCAATTATCAAAGTCTGTAGGGTCAAAACTGACATTACAGGTACATCGCAGAGAGCACGACCCTTGCTCCCGAGCTGTCTGCTTTACAGTATTTTGAGTGTACAGTAAATACAAGACACCTCACAATAAATAAGTAGTTTTTTCCTACATGTTTTGCCTATAAATATTCTCATATGGCTATGTTGTATAGGAACACAAATCAAAGACAAATTGGTTAATATTTTTTTGTCATTCCTTTTATCTTAGGAGTAGATGTAACTTAGACTTATTTTATGCACTTACATTTCGAAGCAATAGGAGTGGAGATAAATTAATGTTTAATTTGATTGTTCCCTTAATCACTTTTCTCCATCTATTTCTCTTGCTCTTTCTCTTCTTCTTTTTCTTTTCACTTGGCAATTTTTTAAGTCCTTTTCATCGAGGCAAAAATAACCATCAACACATTCGTTTGATAATTGACTTGAATTTACTTGGTAAAAAATTTTTAATTCTTACTAACATGTTCGCACTTATGAAATTTTAATTTGTAGGAAAAATAATTCAAACACACATTGAATTAGTGAATTTTGATCTCCATAACTTAATTCAAATATATGTAAAAACTAATAACGGCTTGATCTCATAAAATACATGACGTACTTACAACATGAAACTCATAAATTCGTGAGTATATTCACATTGAAACTTTGAAGGTGCAATACCTTCCTTAAACTACCGTTCTAAACGCTAGATGTTGAAAATCTCAAGTAAGAGAATTGAATCAAATTGTTAATTAGTAACTTAAGCTTGGTTTGTTTAAAATTCATGCAAGTTTGATTTGTTTACTAAAATAACAAGTTAGAATTTTGATTTTTAAGCTCGTTTAGTAATCAATCCAAGGTCAAGTAAACTCAAGCTCGGCTCCATAAAACTCATGAACGTTAAAAAAAATTAATATTTGTTTTTAATAATACATCAAAATAATTTTTATTATTTTTTTTATTCTTTTATGGGTTATTTGGCCAAAAACCCCTTCTTGAGCCTTTTTTTTTAGTGAAAATGACAGCTCAACTATTTAAATTTGTAAGAATATCTTCATCCTAATAGTCAAATTTTTAGTTAAATTTTAACTAAAAGTCCATTTTTCTATTTTAGCTAACCATCTTTTTAAATACATTCTCCAACAAACTCTCTATTTTTTACTCTTTTCTATTTTTATTTTATTTTTTTCAATTCCAAATTTAATTTTAAGAGAGTTAAAATAATGAATGATCACATTTGTTTAGGGTTGAAACGCCCTGACTTTTATTATCCGATTAACATTACCATAATTATCATTATAATTCAATTACATAAAGAAACATGCGGAAGCTATAACCATTAGTGTGATTAAACAATAAAAATCCTCTCTTGTTTGTTCATACAATGCAAATGAATTACAAGCAAATAAAATGCCCTTAGGCATACATCAATACTTAAAGGAAAGGGCTTAGCCCTTAGTACATCAAAGGCATTCCACCAACAAGAAATAGGCCCCGAGGCCCCAAAATAAAGACTGACTTCGAGTCTAGATTAGTTCCTCTTCTTGTGTACCTCAGAATATATCAAGAACATAGGATGAACACAAAGATCTAGTAGGAATCCCAATGCCTCCAAACAATAACAACAATATAGATAAATAGGATCATGAATGCTCCACGGCATAGTATATAAATAATGTGACTTTTAACACTCCAAAATATACATATGTAAATATATATTTTCTCAAAAAAATCCTTCTTCAACATTTCAAGAAAACTTAGGTTGCGTTTGGTAGAGTTTTATAAATATGATTTGAGAGTATGAGTTGTATTTTGAGTTTGTAAGTTGTGGAATTATGATATGAATGTAGAAAATTTGTTTGGTTATGATTTTTGAATAGAGTGTTGAATTGAGTTTTGAATTGAGTGTGGAATTAAGTTTTAAAAGTTTGATTTGACATGTGAAGTAAGAAAATTTGTTTGGTTATGAGTTTTTGAAAGAGTTTTCAAAACTTAATTCAAATTGTTATGACTCATAACAAAACGCACTACTTTCACACTATTGAAAATTCTGACCAACACTCATAACCAAACTTTTTTTAAAATTCAATTAAAAAAATTTGTTATTAACAAAAAATAACATTAATCAATTTTTTAATTGAAAATACTACAAAGGAAATAATTTTTTTTCAAAATAAATATTCAAAAATTTTAAATCATAAATATTTAAATAATTTAAATAATCTAAAAAATTTAATAAGTAAAAAATTAAAATAAATATTCAAAAAATTTAAATCGTAAAAATTTAAATAATTTAAAATGTTAATGTTTTAAATTTAAAAACAACTCTACACTCAAATCGTAACCAAACACATAAAACAAAACTCAATTAAGAAATTATTTTTAAAACTCAAAACCAAGAACATAACTCAAAACTCTATACTACTTTCACAATTCTACACTCAAATTGTAACCAAATACATAACAAATAAATTAAAATATTTAAAAATATTTTTATAAAATAGAGTTTGAATTTATTTTTATAAAATATTTTAAAATTAAAAAAATTAAAATTGTAATATTTTGAAATTAAAATATTTAAAAATATTCAAAACATTAAAACATTAAAAAAATCGTAACATATTTAAATATTAAAATATTTAAAATCTTAACAAAATTAAAATATTGATTTGAATTGAGTTTTGAAAAGTGTTTTGAATTATGTGTTTGGTTATGAGTTTTGAAAAGTAATGATTATGTTTTGAATTGAGTTTTGAGAAATGAGTGTAGAATTATGATTTGAAAGTTCAAAACAAACAACATACTCAAATCAATTGGTGGAACTATAATTTCAACTGCTTACCAAACGGAGCCTTATTTTTTTATACGTTCTTCATTCACCATTTTTAAGTCAAAGAGGTTTTTAAACACAAATTACATCTCGTAACACCACTAATACCATCTCAACGCTTTACATTTATCAAGAATATTCCTGTAGACTTATACACACATCCAACGGTAAAGTGTAAAAAAATTGTCCTCCATTACTCAATAACAATCAAATTCTTATTTTCCATTTGTTCTTGGTAATTAGGGGTGTTCATGAAAAACAGGAAACCGACCCACCCGATCAGACCGACCTGAACCGAATTAAAAAAAAAAAAAAGGGTTTTGAATATTCAACTGG